AGCAGCAGCAGTAGGGCCAAAGACATCGCGGGGCCAAATGTGCAGAAAGCCTGCAACATACAGATGCAGCCGAAACCGAACTTAAGCCACTGATGTGACAACGCTGCCCACAGTGTTTCCACCATACTCCCATCTCCGCCTTTTGCTGCTGCTGTAGTGGAGGAAAACGCAGCACCTCATTCAGTAATAATCAAATACCTTCACTACAGTATGTAGTAGAATTTGCAGTTTAGTTGCACAGGCTATACATATATATATATATAGGTTTTAGAAGAGAGCGAGTGTCTTTTTGGTCAAGACTGGCCCGGAAACACAGAAAAAGTTAGAGGAGAGCATGAAAGAGAGTGACTGTCTCTTTTCTGTTTCATAGAAGAGAAACGTAGACATGATGCAGTAACTGCCAGGGGCATGATGTCTCAAAAGGCATGTAGACATAATGAAATAGAAGTTATTACCATGACAGACATGGACACTGATTAATATGTAGGGAGCCACTGCCGACCAAGCGCCTCCGCTCAGTCCGGCGGTCCCACTGAATTCATCCACCAGCAGCTCTGGACATTAACACATGGATCAAATTGTCTGTGGGCCTCTGCAGTGAACTACAACAAGCACTGCTCCACCTGGTGGATATATACAACGCTGGCTTGCACACACAGTGCTTTGGGGTGTTAAGACGGCACTGCGATCACTGTGTCATCATGGCGGATGCACGGTAAGAGCAGGGGCCGTGCACAGACCTGCCACGGATCGGGTACAGTTCCGCCGCGGTCTAGCCGGCAATTTAAGATGGCTGCATCTGTAAAATCTGTTTCCTCTATGTGCAGGGTTTTATTCACACCTCAACATCTGGACCAGTATATGTTGATGATGTCTGCTTTACACTATCTTGTCTTCAGTGACTGCAAAAGGTCCCCAAGTCTTAACTTGTGCCAGACTTGTCATGTTTGTTAACGTTTGAGTGCAGCTCTGTCTAGAGGGATCCACCATAACCTGAAAGCATTGACTCGGAGGTCAATGAGTCCTCACTTGCTCAGTCTGAGGGAGTGAAACAACTTCACTGATTTGAGGGAGTAGCTCGAGTCTTTTCCCAACCCCTGCAGTGTCTGAATGTGGACATGTTACCTGGTCTTTGGGGAGGGGCTTTGTCTTTAAGCTTTCAGCCCCCGACTCTGGCAAGGTCTGGTGTGTGGTTTCTGTTTCCACCTGCAGGTTTTCTTCTGACCCTCCTTTGATCTCCTGACTCTGTTACCACATTGATTCAGGTACCGTCTTCACATAAGGATGTTCAGGGCTTCACTGTCGGCCAGATTTAAGGGAACAACAGCGACTCTGTGTTTTTCAGATGGGACACCCATTACTCCTGTCGGTACTGCCATAAGATGGGTTTCCCCACGGTTTAATTTGAGAGGTGTGGACTCAAGTTATGACTGTGGTGACCGGGACTTTAACACCAGGATGTTGTCCACTGATTGGAAGTAGTGGAGCCAATCAGCTCTTGATTTTGCTGACAATATATTTCACAGCAGCCAGTCAGGTGCTTGGCTTACCTGGAGAATAACAAGTCCCCTTGACTAAGCACTCACTTGTTTGGACTTGTCTTGACTTGGGAAAAGATTTGAGGACCAACTACCTTCACAGACTTGGTATTTGTTGGGCTTGGCTTGGAACCAAGAAGTTTCCTTAGTTTTGGGTCGTACTGGCCTGGTCTAAGGACTTGACTTTGGACTTGTTGCTCTTGGACTTGACATGAACACCAGAAAGTCCCCTGACTTAGGTACTTGTTGGTATTAACTTGGGATTACGTTTGGGACTGACAAGTCCTCTTGACTTTGGAGTTGTTGGTCTTGGTTTTGGACTTGATGTGAAGACCAGCAAGCCCCCTTGACTTGGGATTTCCTGTCTTGATTTGGGCATCAGCAAGTTCCCCTGACTTGGGACTACTAGGTCTTGACTGGGGACTGACTTAATCTTAGGTTACCTGTCTTGATTTGCAATTTGACATGAACTGACTTGGAGACTTGTTTCTTTTGATGTTGGCCTTGATTTTGGTCTGCTGGTCTGGGGCTTAATTTAGGACCAGAAAGTCCCTTGACATGGGACGTGTTGGTGTTAACTTGGGATTACGTTTGGGACCGACAAGTCCTCTTGACTTTGGAGTTGTTGGTCTTGGTTTTGGACTTGTTGTTGACCTGGGACTTGTTCTTGGTCCTGACTTGAGTCCTGCAGCAGCTGTTTGTTCTGAATCTGGCCTTCAGAGCGAGGCTTCGGTCCTTATATGTGTAGCAGCATTTTAAGGTAGCACCAGTGTTTGTCTCCCTGCTCTCTGTCATGGCTGGAATGAGATAAGAATTTTGATCCTTCTGTGTTAGCTTAGCTTTGGTTAGCAGTCAGCTAATCATATGCCTTGTTCTTACAACCAGGTGCTATTTTGGTAGTTTTAACCCTCCATTGGTTCTGAAAACACTTTCATGTTTTAATCTTAATTTTTTTTCCATTATGAAAGAAAAGATGGCCAAGAGGTGCCACCCAAACCCAGGTTGTACAAAAACATAATATTCCTCTGATTTTTGTCACGTGTTGGGATTTAGATCTGATAGTTTTACTTTGTACCTGCAGCTGGTGGCACAAAGACCGACGCTGACTGCAGCCAAAAGCCTCAGAAGCACAGAGAGCAGGAAAGATTTTGGTTAGGCTTTGTTTTGTAGGGAGAGACCTGCTGAGGTTCATGACCTCCGTCCCAGGGAGCCCTGGTCAGATAAAGGAAGAGAAACAGTAGTAAGGACAGAACACGGAGTCGCCAGTAAATAAATAAATGCTGATGTAAGCACAGAAATTCATCTTTGTCCAAGTAAAACTGTACAAGTAAAAGTAATACTTGCACATATGAAGGCTGACACAACTACATAATAATAAATGTTGATAATCATGAAATAAGACTTAAGTTTATTTCTACATTTCTAGTTTTACAATATTTCTACACTGACATACAAATGTGGAGATAAATATAGATGTTTGAAGTATTTACGTCCTGATTAGTCTCCAACATGTATTATTCATTCACCTACACTTTTAATTTCTGTTATCTATTTAGACGTTCTCATGTCGACGTCTTTCTGCACTGATGTTTGGCAGCCTGTGCTTACTGTCACGGTTTTATTTAGTGCAAGCGTTAGACCGGCTCAGCAGGCCAGTGCAGCGGGTCTTTGTGGGACCAGTTTTACAAAGTCCTAGATGCTACCCAGCATGCCTCCTGACTCGCACTGTAGATCTGTTCATCCTCATGCTGTTTGTGGCTCAGTCGTTTTACATGGGTTTCTTGTAGAGGGATCCATGTGACCCCGGCCAGCGTGGTTAGAGTCAGACTTTATCAGAAACCTGCTGGTTTCCAGGAGTAAAGTCGGCAGAGACGCTCAGTAGATTCAGAGCTGGAGACTCTAGAGGGACCGACGGAGGCAGCCCAGCAGTCTCCTGGTCTGCTGGTCCTGGCTTCATTACCCTGCCACAGCTCAGCTCGGCGTGCACAGTCCAGGTTCAGCCTGTCGCTCCCGTGTCCAGTCTCTAGCTCGGCTTCCGGAGTCGGTCCACGCAGGCTCCACGTGGCTCGACCAGTCAATCAGGTCAAGTTCTGGCTTTAATGTGGTGGCAACGCTGCCAACAATCAGTCCCAAGAGAGTCTCCTGAGCTCAGTGTGCTGGTTGTGTGCCATGTATGTTTTCTAACAGCTGTTTGTTTCCCTCTCTGCTTTGTTGTCTCACCCCTCCCCCTCCCTCTCCTGTCCTCCTTCTCTGTGTCTCCAGAAGAGTTCAGGCTCTGAGCTCCAGGAGATCATGAGGAGGCGGCAGGAGAAGCTGGCAGCCAGCACCTGTGACTCAGGGGTGGAGTCCTTTGATGAAGGCAGCTCCCACTGAGCTCCACCTGCCGCTGCCCCCTCCCCTCACCCCCTCAACTTGACTTTTTTTCCCCTCTCGCTGTTTCCTCACATCGTTGATCCCCAGGCGTTGGCCGACCTCACTGAGTTTGTGGACATCATGTGCCGCAGGCAGGAGCTCCTCGGCTCATCTCCATAGACAGTAAAAAGAAAAGCCAACCATCCCAGCGACCTCTGGACCATCTGCTACTAAAACTCAGAGCGAATCCTGCCATGTTTGCCTGAAACTCATGTTGGCACTGTTGGGCCATGTTGCTCCGTCTGTGTTTGTAAAAGTGAAGAGAAGCTGCTTGGCAGCTCATTTTCCAAAGCAAGGCCCCTCGGCTGCAGTTTGTGCCTCTCACCTGTTGCTTTGTGAGGTCATACAGCCAGACATTAGTTTCTCTGAAAGACACGACCCTGGCCACACTTAGTGCTGTTTCCACAACCTCGAGCGGCTCTTCTGACCACGGCAGCTACAAATCTGCATGTCCACTAAGAAGGTTGTCACCTGAGACGACAGTGTCTTACTCTGGACATGTCTGTCTGTAGCAGGAGTGCAGCTTATCACCGACAGCAGCATCATATTTTATTGCACTGTACATACTTTGTGCAACAAGACTTTCAGTACTGAGGATTCTGCAAATACACACATCCTTTTAAAAAGTAATTTGGGTTTGTCTTCCTAGAAACAGAGTCTCTGACCCTGTGACTTCGCTGCAGTGGAGAAACTTGGGAGGCACAAACTGGGCACATGGTTACTGACTGGTTGCTGGTGCATCCAGACATGAAGTCACTGTTGGTGTGGATATGTTGTTCTAGGAAACGCATAAGGACAATGATGCCTATAATTGTACAGTTCAGATCTTTTGGCCAAGAGAATGATGATATTCACAGTATAAAATCTTATTTTATGGAAATGTCAAACATTTAAGTAAATGAATATAAGTGATAGACCTGCTCAGCTGGAGACGCGACCGGCACCGACTTTAGGACCATTTCTAATATATGAACATCCTGTGACTTACTTAGTGAAAGTCTTAGTCTTATTTTCTGATATATTATTAGATTAGTCGATCAGCATTTGTGCACAGTGAAGAATCAGTTTCGTGTTTTGTGGCTGCTTCATTAAATTTTTACAGAAAAATTCTCAAAGCTTCTCCGAAGCCTGGCGTGAGTGTAGTCTGCTGAGTCAGCAGAGTCACTTTAACCTGATGGATGCGTCTTCAGGCCCCGCCCGCAGCAACAGGTGTAGGGTCGTAAAGTGCATGGTTCCTCTGACGGATCTCTGAGATTAGATGGATGAAACTGGGCTTTTCACCCACTCTGCCCAGTTGAGCCTTGTTGTCTCCAGCTGTGGCACCCTGCATGTTGATTCAGTGTTGGCGTTGTTGTCATACTTCCTGGAACAGTTTACGTAAGCCGTGCGGTTCCTGGGAAATTAAACCTGACTAAATGGACACTTTGGACTAAATGGACTGGGAGGAGGTGGTGTTCCCACCTGAAACAAGTGCACGCAGGTTTTTTTCAGTTTGGACCCAGAGTGGGACGGTTTTTAATCTTGTGAATACTAAAACTTTGAGGTTTTACTTCAGTGACGATTCCTGACCCACTCACTTAGGGCAGCATGTCCCTACTGTGCTTTCTCTCGGTTCAGCCGCCTGGCGTCGGCCTGGACTGTCTCGCTCCACGCTGTGCTGGAGACGGCGGCGCTATAGAGCTGATCTGACAGTGGTGCTCTCTTCACCTGAGCAAGCTCACAAAGGGACAAAGCACTACAGAATTTTGTTTTTATAGACTGTACGTTCTCAGATTCGGCCTTTATCCCAAGTGCACCTGCTCCCCAGGTGATTCAGATGGAAAACCTTGTCCATTTACCTGGGATCACTTTAACACTTGAACCATTTTTATTCACCAACTTCTACATCGCTGTGTTCATTCAGCTGCTCCTGTGAACTCTTCCCCTCAAAGGCCACAATCCTTTCCTTTCCTTTCCTGGTAGGCCTTCAACGTGAAGAATCAACAAAGCGTAGCGTTTCACTGGTGGAAGTGGACGTGACTGGAAAGTAAAATATGTGTGAACCATGTGAGCAGTTATCCTGCAGCTGTCGTTGTGCCCTCAGCGTTTTTTTTTTTTTACCAGATTAGTTTGTGCGGGCCACAAACGTACTCCACTGTCGGCTCTTATTTGAGAATTTACAGGACACTGTTTTTCTGCAAATATCAGCGACCAGAAACTGTTCAGATGGTGGAATAAACCCATCAGCAAGCAAAAAAAAAACATGAACCAATAACACCATGACTTGTTGAGCAGCCTTGAAACACCAGATTATCTCTAGCTGGAGAAAATGTTATGTGTAGGGTGTACAAAAATCGGCCAGGACCTTCTCAATTCACTGTGGCGTTGATCTCGGATGTTTTCCACTGATGCACTTAGGTTTTAGGGGCATTTTCTTGGTCAAGTAGTGTGAACGATGAAGCCGCGTTTCCGCCCTGTAGCACAACACCGACTGACTAAAGAGTAGTCTGCTGCTGTTCAGATGAGTAGAGTTTAAAGCTGTAGTTAGTGGACTGTCCTCGTTCTAGAAGCCAACCAGAAGGAAATGTTAGTTGTTACGACAAGGCATTTGTAGTTTTCATGGTGCCTTTCCCATGTAAATCTGCTCATTTTGCAATAAAATGTCTACAAAAATCCTGTTATGTCACTGTTCAGTTCTTAATCCTCGCAGACCTCGAAGCCTTGCCTCCATACTCTTGGTACCGAACTGTTCGAAGGCATGATTAACAATAACCATCATGTGCTGAAAGCTGGTGTCAGGTGTGTTGAGTAGATCTGTTGCTTCTTCTCTGATCAGTTTGACTTGAACTCTACCCATATAGACTCGGGTTTGTCTGATATAAAATGTCTCAAAATAGTTGAGACGTTCCACCCGATTAAGCCTGAATGTCATAATTTGATATGTAAAGTATAATATCTTAACTGCAGGCTGTGTGCAGTCCGCCAGGCAGGTTTACTGAGATCTGACCAAAACTGCCAGATTTAGGGATCAATAGAAAATAAGAGGTTTTATAACGTGCACCCCAGTTATAAAAGTATACATATATAGCGAGTGCTGTTCAAAATTTCACACACACAGATGTTTGTGTCACTTTGGCAGTGTATAAAATATTTTCAGAAAAATGCTATTAAATGTTCTGTATCTGTTGTTCACGTTACTAATGTTAAAGGCAGAGCTTGCGATTCTTTCAGAAGCCCTTTGTTACATTTCTCTTTTCGTCCCGATGGCAGTGAACACATTAAATACACTGACAACAAAGAAACAAACCCATTGTTGAACACTGAACAAAGCCTGACCAGTAATTTTACTCCTTGTGAGCAAAAGCAATGGACGACCTATCTGCCTGTTGACCTACTTCCTACTGTCGCACCCTCTGCCCGTGCACTCAATGCACGAGCCAAGAGTTGCCCACAAGGCATTGCAGTTGCAGGCAGATGTTACTGGTCTCCTAAAGCCAGCGAGCTATGGCAGAGAAGGTACCCCAGCAGCTTTGGTTCGCAGACAGAGACCGTTACAGGCCAGGCTGAGAGAACAAAGGTGGCTGAACCATGACGCCGTAGTGACCGTGTTTCTGCTGGACAGGTAATTATCGGTTTGGTATGGGGGGGCATTTATTTATAGTAGTAGTCGGGCAGTGCACGTTGTGTTTTGGAGGAGTGGCTTTGAAGAGAAGTCAGAATGAAAGGGACTTCTTTGGTTGTCTTCTTTCAAAATCGAGCTTCCTCTCGCTGATTTTATTATTTTTTTTCCAGGGTCGACAGCCTTACCTTTAACTTTACCTCTATAATGTAATAGCCATTTAAAAAAAGGTTAAATTGATCAAATGTTCAACCACAATTGTTTACTTTTTAGTTACTTTAGTTTATTTGAGCACTTATTTTTACCTGTGATTCCACAGAAACAAGGTGACACTATAGAACACACATCTCGTTATGTGAAACTCAGGCTGTTCCCAAATGTTCAGCCGAAAACAAGATGGCAGAAACCCAGTGTTTTGTTTTAAGGCTATTTTGATGTTTTCAGGGACACATTTGTTTTATACATAGAAACAACAAAAGTAATTGCAACGCTGTTCCAACACACACACACACACACACACACACACACACACACACACACACACACACACACTAGAACTCGATGATCCAAGTGCGAGATCATTCCTCAAACTTTAAGTGACACAATGCACACAAATGGCACCGACGACGTACACGTTGGACTGGACACACACCAAGCACGAGAGGAACCGTAGGAGAGAGTGCAGCGTCTGTGTTGTAGCAAAGTGCGTTTCTCCAGCCACCGGCGAGTTCTCAGTGTCCATGCGACGCCCAGAGAAACATCTGTCCAGCTGTTCACGCCGACGCCCAGAGAAACATCTGTCCAGCTGTTCACGCCGACGCCCAGAGAAACATCGCAGTGATGAGAAAACCCCGGCTCAGGTAGCGATGATTCACATAAACGACCACTTGTAAGAAACAAACCTCTAAAGCAACAGTTCCACAAGAATCACTTCAATGACAAGTAGAAACAATAGTTAAGCAGTAGTAGTATGTACAGTCCATCTGATATCTAACAGTGAAATATCTCTCCCAGGTCCAGTGGAGACCGGACCGAACCTCCGCAGAGCCGAGACAACAAACGGACGTCAGCTGAACCACAAGGCCACAGTGAGCAGACCACGGCCTTATACACACATCCATTACTTTTTTCTAAAGATAAGATGCAAGGTGTCGTCAAAATGCTGAGAACAGCAGCAGCTTCTGGTAACGTGCAGTATTTACCAAAGTGTGGGATAGTTCTGGATGGTGCTGGGTAAATGTCATATCACAGCAGGCTATTTATTAACCTGAAATGTTACGCTAATTTAAAGCTAGGTTCTTTATTGGCTGTAAGTTAACATCTGCTGGTGTTGGGTCTTTTGAGAAGAACCCAAACAGCTGTAACAGAAATCCTAATTTGCAGATTCTGGTCACCACATGTTGGTGAAGCATTTTGGCATTTATACAGGAACCATAATTGTACCAAATTTGAAGATTTGTCCAGCTCTACTAGTTGTTAATATCAACAGGGAACACTGTACTAAACTTTATTAAAAACTGTTTTTGGCGCTAAGCAGTACCAGAATTTGAGGTTTAAAAAACATGTAGCAGTGCTTCAGCAGATAGCTCTCGGGAACTGGACCAAGGCCATGAAAACAAATCATTTTACATTAGAAGTCAACACTTGAGTCTCGGACACATTGATTTAATTTGTTACAAAGCGTGGTCAGTCTTTCCCTGTGGAGCAAACAGAAAGAGGGGCTCTTATTTTGACGACACCCTGTACATCTTGAATCGAGTGTGAAGCTCTGAGCACTCTGTTCTGTAGCCAGATTTTAAACCAGATACTCAGTAGAAAGATGCAAAATGACACCTGATTGTAAATAAGTCGGTCTGCTGTAGCTCACAGCCATGAAGCTCCAGAAAAAGGCATCATGGCAGAGAACAGGCAGCCAAACCGTGACTGTTCAAATAAGCACTGTGTTAACATTAAAACCCCTGTCTAAGGTGGCAAATTTAAAGCTGCATTAACTAAGATTTAGCACAAATTCAGATAAATCAAGTGAAAAATTGTCTAGAAATGTTGTCTCCTTGCTATACTAACCCC